AACGAGATTAAAACCTATATATAAATTGTGAACTGCGTGTAGAATTAAAAAGTCGTTCGATTAAAACTGACAGACAACATATAAAACAGTACTATGCCACGCTTGTTTACAGATAACAAACTACAGGAAATGAAGTCAAATTAGCGACTTCCCATCACGTGATCTTCGCGCATGCTCGATAGAAAGTCGTTCGTTTGCTCGCAGTGGTTTCTCCTCAGCTCAGAAACCACTGCCAGCAGGGTACCGTACAAGTGGCCATAGTAGTTTATTAAATAGTACATAAATTACAGTTTACAAACTGAATTGATTATGTTTACAACAGGTAATTTAAAAAATTATCATAAAAACTATATAACTATTTACATGCAATAAAACTCATTGTAACGACTAGCTGTAATGTTAATAAAGGAATTTTTAAAACGGTCCGTATTACACTTGGGGACGGAAAATTTCCTAATGTTTCTTAAAGGTAAGTTTCTGTTCGTATTAAAAGATTATGCAATTTGTCCTCTGTATTACGGGAGACCTTTAATAAAAGATCATCACAGAGATTGTCCCGATAGGCCGACAGTCTTTCCAAGCTCGATAATTCCAATACAACATCGTAGGGTGTATCATAGCCATGAATAATCCTCATTGCTCTTTTTTGAATGCGTTCCAATGATGATTTTAATTTCTCTTGTAAGTTAAAGTTAAAAATTTCACAAGCATAAGTCAGGACGGGACGAATACACGTAACATAGAATTCCACTAGTTCTTTAGTTTGAACTTTTGCACGTTTCAACTGGGATAAAAAATAAAGACGCTTTGATGCCATTTTGCAAATTTTTCCAGGTGTTTGTCCCACTTAAGGTTGTTTTGAATGGTCAAACCCAGAAGTTGAAATGAATCCACAATTTCAATAGTGGTGCCATTTAAATGTAAATCATCAAATGTGGAGGGAGCTTGTTTAAAGGATATTCGCATTTCTTTGCATTTTATTGGTTGGATTTGAAATTTATTTTGAATTGACCAATTTGATATTTCGTCCACAATAACTTGCGCGGTGCTTTGCCCATGATTATCCACAATTTCGAAGGATGTTGTATCATCGACGAAGATTGCATTTCCGTCTGATTCAATTTTTAGATCATTAATCATCACTAAGAATAACCATGGTCCTTGTTTATACGATTGAATGATTTTGTATATATGTAAATAGTGTGCTAATGTGTGGGTGTTATGCAACTATAAATACGGACTTTGCTAAGTGAACTTTAGTTAGTTATTTATGAAAATCGTGAAGAACTTGAAGTCAAACTTGAAGTAATATTATATGAAATAAAGTATATGAAGTTAAATATATAAAGTCGAAACAAATTGGTGCCGAAACGCGGGAACCGTTGGCGTTGTGATGAGTATAGAAGGTTCAAAGGAATTTGCGAGTGATTATGAGAAAATCGCGAACTGTAAATTGAAGGCTGAACAGTACATTTCAACACAACAGAAAGAATCAGAGTCTCAACGTCGGGGTTCACAAGAAGACAAATGTTTGCTCTCTGTCTCTGCTCGTTCTCGTGTATCGTCGAGAAAGAAATCTACCTATACGCATCTGAGTAAATAACAAGAACATCGATCAAGAAAGAGGTTAGACGAAGTTAAAGAGCGCCACCACTATGAAGAAAAACTACAAGACTTAAAGTTTAAAACATTGAAGCGTGAAATGCAAATTCGTCGGGAATTGGAAATTCGTCAAGCAGAACGTGATTTAGAATCGTTCAGTATTGCGAAATCAAGTTCATCAAGCTCAAAGAATTCATCAAATCCTCAGTCTGTTGCAGATCAGTCACTGAAAGCAAAGAAAAGCAGCTCGCCCGATAAAGTTAACGTCGAGCTTCCAGTTTACTCGAGTGATTGTAACAAGACTCACAAGAAGTTTACGACCGTGAGCACTTCAAAGGAAATTTCGACGTGGAGCACACCGTTAGTCCTTGGGGAAAAGACAATACCACTGGGTACATTTGATGGAAAGAAAGAAAGTTGGCTTCGATTCTTTCAGACGTTCAAGGCCGTGGTTGATAAACAACCCTATGACCCTATTGTAAAGTTCGCAATTTTGGAAAAACATTTAACGGGTCCTGCGAAGGACTGCATTAGAGGATTTCCGTTTACTGAGAACTCTTATCCATTGGCATTGAAGGCCTTGCAAGATCGGTTCGGTGATGAAGAAGACCAAGCAAGTTTTTATCTTGTTCTAATCAGAAGGTCTCACGAAGAGGTGAAGCATTTTGGAGTAAACACAGTACTCTGTAACCTGAGGCAGCGGTATTGGCCAATAAGAGGAAGGGAACAAGTGAAGAAGATCTTATCGAGCTGTGTCTTATGCAAGAAATGGCGTGGTAATCCTGGTGTTCAATTCATGGCTGATCTTCCTGCATCGAGAGTTGAATTCCCAAACCCACCATTTACCTTGACGGGCGTTGATTATTTATTTTGGGCCTATAACCACCAAAGCTGGCTTTAGAGGAGGTCGACGAGAAAAGAGATACGGAGTCGTATTTACATGTCTACAAACACGCGCTGTTCACCTTGAAGTTGCCCAATCCCTATCAACTGATGATTTCTTGAAGGTTTTTTCTCGATTTGTCGCCAGAAGATCGAAACCGAAAAGGATGTTTTCAGACCAGGGGACCAATTTCGTTGGAGCAGAGAAAGAAATGCGCCAGTTAGTAAAAGAATTATGCAATGATGTTGTTCTAAAGGCGAAGCTACAACAAGGTTTGGATTGGAACTTCAATCCTCCTTTTGCTCCTCACATGGGAGGAGCCCGGGAAGCCATGGTAAAACTGGCAAAACGTGCGATAACATCCACAACAAACGGAGCTCAACTTACAGATGATGAACTTTCCACCGTTGCAGCTGAATGCGAAGCCATGTTGAATAATCGTCCGTTGACGTATGTAGGAAGTGATCCAGATGACGTAGAGCCTCTGACCCCCGCGCATTTCCTAGCTGCAGGACAGTTAATGCCATTGCTGCCGAGCGAAATTCAAGTTGATGAAGTCTCACCAAAACGGCGTTGGCTATTTCTACAGTCCATCATGTCAAAGATTTGGAAAAGGTGGCAGAAAGAATATCTGCCTTGCCTTCAACGACGGCCAAAATGGAATCAAACAGTACGAAATTTGGAACCTGGTGACTTAGTGTTAATATTGGACCCAAATCAGCCAAGAGGACGGTGGCTAAGGGGCAAAATTGAAGAAACATTTCCAGACGACCGAAACGTTGTGCGATCAGCCAAAGTCTTAACTCAGAATGGAGTATTACACAGACCTGTGACTAAACTTATACTCTTATCAAGAGAACATTAATTTCTATAAAACATTAACTTATTTTGTAGTCGTCCAGACTGCTCCGCCTCTGGACTGGGCGGGGAGCATGTTTATACGATTGAATGATTTTGTATATATGTTAATAGTGTGCTAATGTGTGGGTGTTATGCAACTATAAATACGGACTTTGCTAAGTGAACTTTAGTTAGTTATTTATGAAAATCGTGAAGAACTTGAAGTCAAACTTGAAGTAATATTATATGAAATAAAGTATATGAAGTTAAATATATAAAGTAGAAACAGTCCTAATTTGGAGCCTTGAGGAACGCCCGCTGATACCTCGTCCCAACTTGAGAAGATATCATTCTCCAATTTAATTCTTTGCTTGCGGTCACTTAAAAAATCGTGAATCCAATTTAAAATATAGGGATTGATTCCATAGCTTTCCAATTTACACAGCAAATTGTGGTCTATTAGATCGAACGCTTTTTTGTAATCCATCAATATTACTCTCACTTCTGAACCTGTAGCGTCAGTAGCTTAAAGCCAATGGTGGATCAGGTATATTAGGGCATGTTTAGTGGATGAAAAGGGAACACAACCGTATTGGTCTGGTCTTATATGCTTCAAAACGGCAGGTTTTACATGCTCTTGTACAACATACTCCTCAGCGATTTTCGATAAAGTAGGCGTAAATCGGCCGTAGATCTCTATTAAACTCTTCGATGGTCTGATTTTTTGGTAAAGGGATGACATTGGCCTTTTTCCATATAGTAGGTAGAACTTGTTTTTGGAAAGACAAATTAATTAGATAACATAGCAGCAAGAAGATGGCTAAAGGTTTTTAGAAACCAGTTGGGAATCTCATCTGGACCGGGTGCTTTATAATTAGATTATTTGATTGTTCTTAGTTTTCTCTCAACAGATGCAATGGAAACTTTAGGAATCCGATGATTAGTCACTTCAATTTTACTACTAGGGGATAGTTTCGGGTAACTTTGCAAGAGTTCCAGAAAAGCCGAATTTATATCATTGGCCAGTTGAATTTTAGAATTGGTAGACGGCGATTCCATTTCCAGTAGTTTATTAACGATGCCGGTATTTGGTTTTGCCATACCACAGATCTTTTTGCAGATCGACCACCATTTCTTCGGATCTACGTGTTTTAGATGTTCAATCTTGCTTTTGTAAAATTTCGATAAAATAATTTTTCTTTCACGGTTGACTTTATTACGATAAAATTTGAAAAGCAAGATGTTGTTTTCTTTCAAGGCTTTTTGACGATGGTGAATTAAGTCCTTAAGATATGGGGTCATCCAATGGGTGTCATTTTGATGCAATTTAACGAGTTTTGAGGGCATCATTGAATTTAAACCAATCATAAGTGAGTCGTTAAAATAATTTAACTGTTCTTCGATGGTAGACAAATTAGTTAAGTACGGACCAATCCATATTGCTTAAAAATCTTCCTAAAACTTCAAATGAGCTCTTGTTCCTTTTGCGCACTGGTATTAATTTCTTTGTATTGGACGAACTTGGCCGCTATGCAATTATTCACACATTTAAAAATGCTTTGCCTTTAACCTGTTTAGAATAGATACTGCTTTATTAGCATAGCATGACCAGTTGACATGGCTAGGTTCCCACTGGAAATAATCCACATGAAAATGAGGCTATTGGGGCAATAGACACTAAAAAGTAAGGTCCATTTAAGTCGTTATAAATGTTGCCTCGCCCATTGCTATATGTTTTTACTCATTGAGGAGATATAGAGTCATTTAATCTGCAACAATGTGCCATTCAAATCCACCCACCAAATCAAGTTCAACTGTCTGATGATTCCTTTGGCTTTGCTTTTTTTCGTTTCTTTACCGGTTCCTCGCTGACTTGATGCCACTTCTGTTTTCCATGACCTCCAACATTCCCTCTTATCACTGGTGCAATATCCCTCTGTGCTGCTATGGTAAGGTCGTTATAACCAAACTGTTCAGCTGTTGGATTGTCGGAACGTCCACCTTTTGCCGTTGATGTCCAAAGTAATCTTCAAGCACGTCCAGCATGAATCTTTCGCTAAGAACATATTGAAAGCCTTCAGCAAGTAAAAATCGAATAGCTTCAATATGGGCATGAATAGATATCTTCAAACCTTTGTAGGTTTGAATTGAAAGGAACATCTTTCCCCTATCATCAGTGGAACACACTCCATCTCGTGTCATTGTACTCTGCCTCCAGTTCTCCAGGTACTGTAAGAAAACAGTCTTCATCCATACAAATCGTTCATTGTCTTGAGCAGTGTATGGTTTGATGAAATAATTTATTCTCCAGACATGTTCAGTCAAGGACCTTACATTTGTACAGTCAAAGAAATCATTCATCATTCGGCAAAATTGTGCCGTACCCAAAACTTCCTCTTTCCACTCTCCTCCAACACAGATCGACTTAAAACTTGGGTTGCCAGCTTGACTTTCATTTAACTGTAAGGGGTAAGGACAATATGGTCTAGTGACAACTTTGGCCTAGTGACAACTTTGGAAAAATGTGCAGGGCGAACTCTTAGTTGGTGTAGAAAAGGTCAGCAATGTGCCTGAACAATAAATAGCTACAATTGTTCCACATAAGACGACTGCGAGAACCGGAACCGGAGTTGTACAGGCAATTTCTGGCAGTCTTGATTAGATGACAAGCATCAGGGAAGAAAATGAAGCGATCCATGGCAAAAAGGTTATGAACCTTAAATACAACATCACTCTCTAGATCACTCACGTTGACAGCAGTAATGATCCAAAAGTTTAAGGACACCTCAAAAACTCCAACAATCTTGCAAAACATTGACATTAACTGGTAAGAAGTTACATTTTCAGTAAAATAATATGCAATGACATGTTTCATGTCAGTGCACATTCCTTTTACCAGAAATGCCAGTGCATGAGTTGCCATAACATCTTCGTCCCCAAGACATGCATAATTTGTCATTGGATCCCCAAGATCCACAAAGCCAATCAAATCTCCTGGATACTTGTCGAAAACAAGGTTTGACTGTATCTTCATTTCATCCATGACGGGCACCACATAACGTTGAATTCCAGCTGCTGAAGAGGCTTTCTCCTGTAGAGACTCGATATTGTCCCGGTTTAAACCTAATAATAATATTATGTAATCTTTACAGAAAAAGCGCCCATCACATTTATCATGATTTTCAGGGAGGTTCTCCAATTAAAACATATCCTACCTGCTTTGGGTTTGGAATAGTTCTTATAATCTCTAAGTACTCTTTCACTTGGAAGGATCAAAGCTCCACTATCTCTGAGCTCTCTATAAGCAGCTGGGGATTTACCATGAAGGGACAATGCAAAAAGTATAATTTGGGGGTGATATCTTCCGGCCATTTTCTCAGTTTGCAATAACTCCATCTGTTGCTGCCAGAAAAACTTCATATGAGGTGTAGCCTCCAAATTCTGACCACCCATTATCTTCAAAATGTCCTTCTCTAATGTCTCACAAATTGATACTCCATCCTTTTTCATTCTTGTCTCGAGCTCTTTAACTCTGTCGTCTAACTGTTTACACTGTAATCTTAACAGTTGCTCGTAACTTGTCCAGACCACAGCTTGACAGGGAAGCTTTACTCTTAGCAGGAACTGACGAAACAGTTATCTTTCTTGGAACTTATGTGTTCTTAAACATGGCTTACATTGTTCTTCCTCAGGTATGGTATCGAAAACAACATTACAATTTGGGGACCAAAATGTCACAGATGTTTTGAAACAACTTTCACATGGCAATTTGGGAACAGAATGGATTGTGGATTGAAGGAATTCTGTAACCTTATCGTCCCAGGTTGGATCGGTAACCAGACTTACTTTCTTCATCTTGTGGCAATCCTTTGCAAAGATTGGAACTCTCAACAAACCTTATCAATTCATTGACATCCCCCATGTTTACGGCTCATTGAACAGCCGTAAAACACACAGGTTTCCCCCTGCATAGCTTTTAACTTATTTAACAATCACATATTTAATAACAACAAGAGACAATAGCTTAAATATTCCAAAAGGGGAGGTTTGTTTGCCAAAATAAAGGCAGAATGACGCATTTATAACCTGAGATATGAATTATTAATAAGTATCAAATTACAATGCATGCAGGCACCGGACCACATAACCAAAATAAAACTGGTTGAATAACATAATCTGTCACGTGGTACACACGTAAAAACGCACAAGTTGTAACAAACCTGCAGCAGACTTGGTGTTCACAACTGCAGCAGACTTGTAGCAATGCTGTTCCAACAACTTGTCAACAGGATGTGTTCGCACTGCTTGTTCCCAGCTTGTTGACAAGTTGTCAACGGCTTGTTCACAACTTGCTACAAGGTTGTTGAGTTCAACAGACTTGTTACAAGTTGTTCCAACAACTTGTTATCGTCCTGCAATTTAACAATTTGTCAACAAATTGTAAGTGACAACCTTGTAGCAACTTGATAATTTAACAGCCTGTTGCGAACACATCTTGTTGACAAGTTGTGAGATTTTTATGTGTGTACAGCTAGCCTGACCAGTCTTTTTTAATTAACTGTGCACCAGTGAGGAGCGTAGTGTAAAAAGCCTGGGTATGAGGTTGAAACACTAACAGTACAAGTCCAAGGGCCTTAGCTCAAAATGTTGAAGTTCTCCGGTATTTTTCAGGTAGTTGCATCCAGTGGTTGCATCCCTATTAATCCAAAGCTTTCATACATATTTCCCCAGAATTTTTAGTTGTTTTCAATTGATTTCAGTGTAAAAAGTATCAAATTTTCGACGTGAAATTCTAAATACTTTGTTTATATTTCGCAACAATCCCCGAGTATGCATACAACTCACATTGGAAATGCGACATAAATCAATTCAATTTCTCGAGAGCTATGCCCTCCCTCAACCTGCAAATGGGCATGCTCGGGGGAACGAGATTGGGGTTACCTTTGTGGGGATGTCTTCCCCAGTCCTCCTATGGTGCCGCCACTGACACATTCAGCAACAATTGTGTATTTTGCCTTATCACATTCTGGGTTAAAAATCTCGGTTATTTTTCTGTTCAGTATTCAAGTCACCAGAAGTATACCATGATATTCGCTCCTCCTCCTGAATTCGATTTAGGAAGTGGTCATTATTTATGGGGTGGATGATTTTGAGGAGGGGTTACAAAATTTTGAAAGTTGCTGAAGGAGGGGTTATGTTGATTCTTGGCTTGAAGAAGGAGGGCTTCCTAGAAAAATAGTCTTGTCGATACATAAACTAAATTTGATACATAAACAAACTTAATTAACAAATCGAAATAATTAATACACCGTAGATAATGAATATATTGTATTATTATATACACAAGGTCTGGATATGAGGTATTCTGCAATCTGATTGGTTCTCTACTAGCAGGATATTAGCTCATATCCTGCTAGTAGCGAAAAACAAAATGGCGGCTGAAACTGAATTTCCGACGTTTTGCGAACGAGAAAACGGCAAGTTGTTCGCTTTTTATAGCCTTTACAGGATTAAAAACACAATGAAAAAACTCCCAACAGGTTAGCAAATGAATTTTTAAAATTTAAAATGGTTAAAAGAATATATTTTTGAAAAAATAATCGGCCGAAAGAGCGAAGATAAAAACATAAACAAAACAGGAAAATATTGAAAATTTCCGAAAAGCAAAGTCTGTGAATTCAGACCTTGTGTATATAATAAAACAGTTATTCCACTCACTCTCGTCGAATATGAGCGATAGCCGATTCGGCGCTACGCGCCTCATCGGCTATCAGCTCATATTCAACTCGAGTTCGTGGAATAACTGTTAATTATCACATGCCAAGCTGTAAAATAAACAACTTTAGTCTCAGCTGTTTTATTATATAGTAGAGAGTGAGATCCTGAGAAATACACAGTGACATATTTTCCATATCTTCACTAGTGAAGATATCGATCACATGACTTTGTTTACGAGTACAGTTGCCTTCACGCTTCTTTCACAATTCGCAACATGATGAGGTTTGTCCAAATCAGTGACGATGTAGAAAGGTTCAATGAGGAAAACAAAAATACGAGGAAAAGAAGTTCTACGACACAAAAGTGTTCCTTGAGTTTCTGGTGGCCGAAGGTGAACGTAGAAAAATCAAGGAAATCCCCCCGAATGAGTTGAAGAACCTGGCAAAAAGGTTTGTCTTAAGTGTCTTTCACCACTCAAAGATAAAAGTCATATCTTTGTGCCGCCGTGTAATATCCTCTATATATTAAATTTATAAAAAATCTAGTGTGCCAAAATAATAACACTGGTCTTATTTTTTAAGTACAAGGTCAATAGAAGACACTTTTTTTTCAAATTGAAATGTTAAAACTCAACGTTTATTTTGTTTTCATTTCTTATGTTTATATTTGTTAAAATAATTTCCTTGAGGAGGGGTTGGAATTTGTTTTGAACATGTGAAGGAGGGGTTGTGAATTTCAACAATTGCTCAAGGGAGGGGTTATGTAAAATTTTAACTTGTACCTAAAAATCATCCACCCCCTAAATAATGACCACTCCCCTACATTTTATTTAATTCGATTTTAACACCTTGTCTGCTGTCATATTTATTCACTACCTGCATCCTCCATTTCAAGACCAAGTGCATCTTGGCAATAATACACCAAATCTTTTCGTCTTTCACGATTGTCGATTAAATTTGTTAACATTACAGCGTCAGGATGAACTTCGACGTTTAAACTACTTGGGTCTTTTAACGGTGGTTCCCAACCATCAGCTGCACTTAGAATAAGACGAGCCATGGTTTCACTCACGTTTGCACCGAGATAGTCCACTGTGCCATCTGCCATAACTTTTCTATCTTTAGTCCCTAACTTTGCGGAAACGATAACGTCGCCAAGTTTTACATTCTTCTCCGTTTTCATGCTTGCACAGATCCCGACAAAAAGGATTACTTTTGGCTCTAAAATTTCAGCAGCATCTTTCACACCTAACAAAACTCCATTCGATCCCAGTTCACATTTCATTAATGCAACTTTCTGATCATCCTTCACGCCAAATTGTCCAAAATCTACACATCTATGTAGCTCTTCACAATAACCTCGTCGAACATTTTTCATATACGAATAACAAGCATTCGATTCGTGATCATTTTCTGTTATTAGCAGAATATCTGTCGGTAGTTGTAACTGAATCTCGTTACTTAACCAGTCATATGGTTTATTATTAAAGTCATTCTCTGTTATGAGAGTGAAATTGAGTTGTGGTGGTGCCAGCCGTGCCACACGATCATTGCCTTCGCAAGACATAAATATGGCTGTCGCAGAAAAAGTTGGAAGTGACTCAACAAATAACAATGACGCACTGTTGTAAATAGCCGACCGGAATTAGTACCCTCCCCTCGAACTCACGCGCTCGCGCTGCTCGAGATCTCGTTTCAACGAAAGCTCAAATGACCAAATATATCGTAGCGTGAACGGCAAATGCATATTTTAGAACATAACGCAACTTAAATATATCGTGTAACGGGTATGTTTGGTAACTTGGGTTTTAGTTGACTATTACGAGTAACGCAAACGGAAACGGCTTGGAAAATCATTAGGGACCTTTTCAAAAGCATGTACGACGGCAACGCGACGACGACAGCCAAAAGTCCAAAACAAACTTCTTCAAATAAATTATTGCCAAGAAGAGTTGTTGTGTATTATCTACTACACGTATATATTAATTGAGTTCAGTTTGAAGAGATTAAAACAAAGACTTTATTGTTAAACGCTTCTGCTGCGCAAATTTATAGTAGCTCACTTGTCACGTCTTGACATGTTTGCGCTGTACACGAGACGCGAAAATCTCTGGTTAGCTCCCATGGGGCTATTACTGTAATTATTCATTTCTTTTGTACGAGATCAGGATATCATTCGGTGTGAATAGCCGTCGTCGTCGCGTTGCCCGGTTATTGTAAGGTCCCTATTATTCCCTCATTAATTCCAATTTAATACGATGTTTATTGTGTTTATTACTGTATTGTATACAAATAACAAACCATTTGAACTATTAGCACAACCTGTAAACTGCAAACTTCAAAAATCAATATTTTGGAAAAAACAAACCCGCTTTTCTTTAGTGGTATACTTGTACAACACGGATTTTTCAAATTCAAATATATTCGATTAACCAATCAGATGCGTGGAGGTTGTGGAAGTCAAATCGGCTCTCTTTAATATATTGTTCAAATTTTTACAACGTATCATCCGTCGTAGTATGAACACAAGGTAAAATCATTCTTAAAGCTTGGTTTCCATTACTGAATCGTAATTATCGCAAGAACCTACGGTGGCCCAGAAGTGCAAAACACAAAACAAACAAAGCAAAACAAAAATTAAGTTTCTTTATCATTTTTACACTATTTTGATACATTTTTACCCAAAACATAAAACACAATTAATTTAACCATTTTATCGCACAATTTTCTTTTTTTGTGACACGTTTGAAAACACAAAACACATTTGGAATCACAAAACACATTTGGAAATCACAAAACACATTTAGAAATCACAAAACAATTTGGAATCACAAAACTACGATGGCCGAGAAGGGCCATGACTGTAAACACTCGCCGTTTTTTTTATCATTACACTCGTCGTTTTTTTTCCCTTCAAAATTACACTCGCCGTTTTTTTCTTCAGAATTACACGCGACGTTTTTTTTCAGGGATGATGCAATAATTACACGCGACATTTTTTCAATGCAATATTACACGCGACGTTTTTTCCAAAAATTACACTCGCCGTTTTTTCAGAGTTACGTTTTAAACTGAGGGAGTGAGGGTTTCGATGAAGATGGGAGCAATCATAAGGTTGGTGTGTTTCATCAAAACTAAAAATCATGTAAATACAGTACAAAATTTCACTTTTCAGTCTGTTAATTATTAATATAATTATAATGCATTGTTTTCTTTTGTGTTTTCCAAACTATATAAACAAAAGCTTTGTGTGTTTTGAAAATAATGCATTAATCATTGATTCATAACCGAATGAAAGTCAGTGAA